GGTTGACGTAAGTAATCGTTAACTCTTCCCTTCAGAGAGTCAACACTAACGGTATTAGAAAATCGGTAGCGATGTTGGAGAACTACTTCCTTGTGTATTACAACCATTCTGCCATTTCTATAGATATTTCCTTCGGTGGGATGTCAATTATCATTTTCTCGGATTACTCCGCAGTCGTTTTATCAAATATTATAATCAATTTTAATACCTTTCACATTCATGCTCCATGTCTGCCAGTAAGTCAAGATGCTAATATAAAAATTAACGATTACGGCTTACGAAAAACGAAAAGGGTAACAATAAAAAGATGGATTTTGGCTTTCATATGAATGAAATAAACCAAAATTACATTAACTGGGATACAGGCCTTATTACGCCCTTCCCAGATCTCGTGAATAATATCAATTTTGTAATATAATTAAATCTGTTTGTAGTTAAGCACAAACTACACAATGGGCCATCTGTGCTTTTTTTCACTACAGGTATCAAAAACCAGTTTTTAACGTTATAAGTCTGCAGATTTACCGTTGTGTCACTGGGAGGCAATTATTAAAGCAAAGTAACAGATATGCTGAAGATCGACGATTTTTTTTTTCGCCTAGAACGTCATTTAGCCTAAAGCAGACCAGTGTTGATCGCAACCTCAATTATCGTAGCAAGTAACATAATTAGGTATTAGATACTTTTCTGAGGATTTAAAGAAACCGTGGTTCCCAAGAAATGTAAGAAAGTGGCGTGTTTTTGAAGACGGATATATTTGAATATTTAAGTGGCCTTAATTTGAGACGGCATAATAAAGATAAACATATGTTACCACTTTTATATGTAATAAAGAATTAAACACCATTTTTATTTTCTAAGCAACAAGTTTGTATTAAAGATTCATATAAACCTTTTCCTGTAATTTTTTTATAAGTACGTCAGTCGGGCTAATTATATTTAGCACCTTTGCCATGAATCATTTAAATTACATTAGAGCCTGTAAAAAATATACAAAGCAGGCGCCATATTTTAATGACCTTAGTAGTTTTATCTGTTCTACTAAAATTGTAACAAACCTTTGATCAATCATTTCTTTTTGATATATAAATATGATGATGATCATTAAAGAACGTAAGTTTTTAACATCAGTTTGCCGTAACTTTATAAACTTCCTCATAAAATTTTAATTCTAAAGTTGAAATCATTTTTCAACAAGGATATCAATATATATATATGTGTGTGGGTATATATTTATATACCCACACATGTATATAATTGAAATGTTTTTTCTTGCAATTTTTAAAAGAGAAACATTTTAATATAGTTCTATTATTACTCACGAGATGGCAGGTCCACGAGGGAAGTGTTTCCAGATGTACAACTAATAATATAACACAGTTTACTTGAATTTTGTCAGTTAAAAGTGGGAACCACGTAACTATGAAAAATTCGTTATGTACTAAAATTTTAAGGAGTTCTTAAAAGTACATTGCATAATCAATTCACCTGTACGAACGAAAATATCGTTAACGACGAGGCTACCTAACTGACGAAACGCTGCGTTGTAAATGTTTTGTAAGTAAGAACGTAAAAGTACATGGTCATTACCAGTCTTGCTCGAAATAGCTATCCTGCTCTGGTCAGAAAGTTATATTGAGTACACAATATACAAAAATGTATGTAATAATTATATTTACCGTAGGGCGTCGTGAAAAAGACTTTTTTTTTTTTTGTAGCTAAGCACAAAGCTACACATTGGGCTATCTGTGTTCTGCCCACCACGGGTATCGAAACCCGGTTTCTGGATTTACAATCTTGGATTTAATGAGGTTTACTGCTTTCATTATTTCTAGCATATAAATAAGTAATATAATTTTGTCAATAGAACTTCAAGTGTAGATCGTTGTAGAATCTCGGAAGTGACATATGTATATATTACAATTTTAAAGTTTGACGTCTATACTATTTTCCCCCCTCCCCTACAACTTGGTATTGCAATTCTTTTAATTTTTGCAAGGTAAAGAAATAAATGGTCACCGATAGTTATCTTTAGATCTGACAATGATTATCGGAATCAATCAGTAGCTTCAGGTGGATAAGGCGCTCGACTCGCAATCTCAGGGTCGCGGGTTCGAATCCTTGTCACACCAAATATGCTTGCCCTTTCAGCCGTGGGGGCGTTATAATGTGACGGTCAATCCCACTATTCGTTGGTAAAAGAGTAGCCCAAGAGTTGGCGTTGGGTGGTGATGATTAGCTACCTTCCCTCTAGTCTTACACTGCTAAATTAGGGACGGCTAGCGCAGATAACCCTCGTGTAGCTTTGCGCGAAATTCAAAAACAAACAAACAGTAGCTTCAGAAGACGTCTTTAAGCCATTTATATCTGCCTACCAGTGTTTTACGACAATTCTCTTCTACAAACATTTGTGTAAGTCAGCCTGAACTTTAAAAGACATTTAAGACATTATTAGTAGGTGAGAAAAAAAAAGTTTTTGGGTATAGCCATATTGAATACTTTCTGGCGTTAATTAATGTAGTAGCACTTTGTAACGTTAACCCCAAAATAACATTTAAAAAAAAAAAACCAATATATATATATATATATATTTCTATATTACTAGTTATTATTTCAGATTGTTTTAAAATAGTATTTTAGATTTAAATTGTTAAAAACATATTCTTGAATACTTCAAATTTTTCTAAACCCACTGCCGAGTAATTTAAATCATTTTTGAAACCACACTCTGACTGGTTCTATCACGCCAATTAAAATGTCCGGAATTATTTATTTTCATAGCAGTTTAGATTGGTTTAGTTTGCCATATTGGCATTCACTGTAAGATCCCATAACTTATTGCTTTCAAATAAACAATATAAGCAGATTTATTTATAAACAATTACTTTAACTTTTAGGCCTTTTTACTAGATGCTTTATTCTCTAACGTTATATTTAAAAGCCGTAGGTCAAAATCAGAGATTGGTCTATACTTAATTACACTCTTAAAATTTACCCTTAATTCTTGTTAAAGACTTAGTAATAAAAATTCATCTTACGGATACAATTAAGTTCTGACCTCTCGCAAAGATGGCATGAAATTAATTTAATTGCAATTCTAATTTAAAACCTTCTCTTTAAACAAATATTTAAAAACTAACACATAAAGACTCCGTACATCTGCAGGAAATCTTAACTAATATGTAGTAACAAACTTTACTTTAAGAACACCACAATGGTTTACAAGCATTGTTGATAGATGACCTCTATTTTTAAATAATCAAAACTGTATCATTATAGTTAGGTATGTCAACACCCACAAATAGATCAACCTCAACTTTGAGCAAAATGTTTTCATTACTTTAATTAGAAATTACATTAAAAAGACCAATTATTTTCAGGTCATGAGTGCAGTCAAATCCCACTATTTAAATTCGGTGACG